TTTCAAAGGTAACAATAAGAAGTAACCATTTGATAGTATTAATGACAATACTACCATATGCATGGTGGTAATCATTCAAATGACAAATGTGTCCAAAAATCAATGGAGGATACTAAAGAATAGGTAACTAAATTTGAGCAATAAAATCATCAAGAAACAATGAAAAAACAACCACGAAGTTGCAATTAAAGTGAAAATGCTAAAAGGAAAACATAAACATGTGCAAACCTTCTCATTTTTACTACGTACTATGTTGTCGAGTTCCTTATCCACGTAAAGCCTCTTTTGGTCCTTGTTTTGGCAATTGTAGATATTACTTTGTTCACTTATAAATATTAAGAGTCCTCTTATACTCGACATTGCCATCGCTTGTGACACTCGCATATCCATCTATTCTCTTTAGATCCCCAAACACAATTGGATTGTGAATTCAAATCCAAAGAGAATTTGAATGGACAATGATCTTCAATTTTGAATTGTAATAACTCAAATGAAAACAATAAAGGAAAATCTAGTTGCGTTATGGTTGATGTGGAGTGAAAAATAATGAAAACCAAACTTCTAGTGTCAACAACAAAAACAAAGAGCATTTGAGGAACAAGTTTAGGTTTAACATTTTGTAGTGAGACAGTAAAGGAGGATGCTTCCACTATAGAGATAAGATTTTGAGACCATGAGCTTCCATTTTGCAATTCTAGATCCATACCATGAATTTTGCCTTTTATTTTAATTAACAACTAACACATGGCTTTAATTAGTAATGACAATCATGATTTGAACAATTCATAACACACCAGAATTTATGCTGGAAAGAAAGATACACACTAGAAAAGGGGGTTGAATAAAATATATCAAAAACTCGCATTTTTGCAGTAAGGCAATGAAAACACAAACAGATGAAATACTAGAAGGTGATCAATTGATGTACTAAAAATAGATGAAATGGCACAAGTGTTTTATACTGGTTCGTCTCTAACCTAGAGACTATGTCTAATTCTCAATCCAATCAGATTGAGTTTCATTATTTTCAACAAGATACAAGTATTCTTTCACAAGCCACTTCTGGCTCAAACCGAGTATTCTTTCAACAAGTCTCTCTAAGCTTAAACCCAAGTATTCTTCCAAATAAACCTCTTCAAGTTTAACTACTAAGTATTCTTTTTACACAAGCCTCTCCAAGCTCAAACACTAAGTATTCTTTGCACCAGCCTTTCCAAGCTCAACCCTTACAAATACAATGGATAAGAGTTACAAATATAGATTTGTCTCTTCTAAACGTGATGCTATACAAATTAGGTACAAGTAGTTTACAAAGAACTCTATACAAGATTTGCTATGAAGATCTTCTTCGTAGAGCTTCAACTTTGTATTTCTCATGGTGTGAGTTTTTCTCTATATATGATGCTTTTTTATTTTCAACGCTTTCTTTTGTTTTGCTTGCACACTCTTCTTATTTCATCATTCATATTATGCTCATCCTTATTCATATTGTGCATTCTCTCTATTTTTGTTTGAGGGCTTGACCCTTATACAATAACTTCAAAGAAGATGACCGTTGCAACAACGTTTAAATTTAAACATTCATATTTCTTCATGTGTTATTTTGTTTGTATTCTTGGCTGATCATAGGGATTATTGTTGATGCTTAGGGTTTAGGGTTTAGGGTTTAGGATTTAAGGTTTTAGGGATTATTGTTAAACGCTTATCAGAGATGCATGTATCTCTTATCTGATCTAGACAACTACTTATCATCTTTTTCTCTTTATTTTGAGTGTGGCAGAGTGTTAATGTAGAGTAGTTGAGCTAGTGCAAAGCAGTCTCTTTTAGGTCTTATCCATGATATCTAGGATTTTCTCTTTCTATCCTAACACAATGATTTGACATCCCCTTTTTGAAAGCTTTCATTTTCTTCAAGGAAGCTTTCTAGTCGATCTATTAATGAATAAAATATTAATACTTCTTAAAGTATAATCTAACTCTTTAACGAGAAATAAATATAACATTAATCCAAATCATGCACTTCATCTAGTATACTTCGTCTTATAGACGAAATATAACATCTACTTCATCTGATTGTTTCTTTCACAGAAACTTATGACTTCTTGTTGTTGTCATAAAAGGTGTTTTATAAAACTCTAATCTATATAAAAAATTTGTTTATTATCATAAAAACCTATAACACCTCAAGGGATTTAAAAATTGTCTTTTGATTCTTCAGACTTTCTTTTGATCTTACACTTTACATGATCTTTTATTGGTATCGATCATTCATTTTTTTTTATGAAGCTTAATTTTGTATCAAACGATCCTTAAAATTTATCAATTTACAAATAAACACTTTAATGGCAATTTCATCTCCATTATTCTTTATTTGTTTGTTTGGGTAAGAAGAGAAGTAAGAGAGAAAAAAGTATAATAGAAAAAAGTAGGAGAAAAGAGAGAATGAGTGGAAAATAAATACAATTTTAAGGTGTTTGGATTAAAAAAAGTAGGAGAGATATTAAGGAAAAAAGGTTAAAAACCTCTTTTGTCCCTGATAATACTTTTTTGTTTCAATTTAGTCCCACTTTAATTTTAGGTCTCAATTTGGTCCCAAATAATTTAAATCATTGCAATTTGGGACTTCCCTCCAAATGATTTAAACGGGGTTAACTCCTGCTGATGTGGATGCTAGGTGGATGCCACGTAGATGCATAGGTGGATGCCAAATGACACGAATACACCTGGAACCAGAACGGGCCGTTCTGAAACCAGAACGGCCCGTTCTGCATGCACATTTATGTGTTAATTTTGCAACTAGAATGGGTCGTTCCAAATACAAATTTAACACAACATGAGTGAAGCAGAACAGGCCGTTCTGAAACCAGAACGGGCCGTTCTGAATTTAGAACGGCCTGTTCTAGAACGCCAACTTCATGCTTTTTATTGTATTTTTTATATCTATATTAATAAAAATATAATAAATAAAAAATACAATAAACTAATATTCATTTATGAATAAAACTATAAAAAAATCAAATAAAATAAGACCTTTCAAAATCCTTCTTTGATTTGAACTTATCCAGTTCAAAATCTTGACTGAAATGCTGCAATGTGATTCAAATTGAAAATAAAAATTCAGAACATAACATATACTAAAAAGTTAAAAGAAATTATTGAGAAAGGAAATCATCTGGGTAACGCTGAAGAGATTATTAGATGACATTTTATGGTCCTAGTTTAGTAATGGTGGTAGACATTACAATCTGGTGATTGCCTTTTGTATGGATTACGTTGGATTTTGTTTAGGTAACTTTGTATTTTTTAATGGGTTGGGGTACCCCTTGTACTCTCGTTAATTTATTTTGCTTATAAAAAAACGCTGAAGGGAAACCCTAAACCACAAAAATTCAGGTTGTACCTCCTCAAGAACAGGTTGTTATTGTTGGGGTACATCGTCAATGACTTCAAGGGAAAACACCGTTTCTTGACTGTATAGTGTCAATTTGGTAGTAAGTGGTTCACTCTAGTTTGACTAACAATGAAATAAAACTTGTTACCGTTGTTCTTAGTGATACACTGCATCGTCCTTAGTGGTACACTATATAGCCCAAATGTTTAGCAATTGAAGTTATCAATCCCCATTAACAATATTACCAAATCTAGTGTTTGAAATACTTTGCACTTGGATTTTTTTGCATGAAATTCTGGAACCAGAACGGGCCGTTCTGGTTACACTGTTGGTGTGTTAATTTTGCATCTGGAACGACCCGTTCCAGGTACAAAATTTACACACCAATAGTGTAACTAGAATGGACCGTTCTGGTTCCAGGTGTATTCAAGTATTTTGGGATCCACCTACGTGGCATCTACGTGGCATCTACGTGGCATCCACCTGGCATCCACGTGGCTACCAATTAACTCTGTTTAAATCATTTAGACGAAAGTCCCAAATTGCAATGATTTAAATTATTGAGGACCAAATTGACACCTAAAATTAAAGTGAGATTAAATTGAAACAAAAAATATTATAAGGGATCAAAAGAGGGTTTTAACCAAGAAAAAAAAAACATAAACATTCTTTGCATTTTTTTTAGTTTATTAAAGAGGTATAATTCATCAAGTGTATGTGCAATTCCATGTCTAAGCCAAGAAACGAATCTCAATCCTCGATTAAGAATTATAAGTGTCGTATTACTTGAACAAATAACTTTTGATATTCTTTCTACTTATTTGACTTAAAAAAAGTGAAGAAAAGTAAAATATATTTTTAAAAACATATTTATCTTTAATATATAATATAATGCAATTAAAATATTTGTAATATAATATTTTTTTAGAAAAGCCAAAACAAATAAAATATTTACCCAAAAACTATAAACCATCACGATGGAACAAATTTCTTTTCTCAACAATTATTAAGTTTGCAAAGTAAAAAATAAGAGGTCAATTTTGTAACTTCATGCAATATTTCCTTCTTTGGCCTCTTTTCTCTCCATAAAAAAAGAAGATTTTGTTTTTAAGCGGGATCGACAATTAATTTTCTTTATTTTCTAATTTTTTTTCTCTATCCAAACAATATCAAATTACTACTCTTCTTATACTTCCTCTTTTCCTAAAACTTGTCAAACCAAACAATGCGTGAAATCTACCTCTTTTATAATGGTCTTTTATATCAATTTTGGATTAAACTACAGAAAAATCTCAGATATTTTAACGAATAAATGAAAAATTAATAAATAATTGTTATTTAAAATAAACAAGTTAATTCCATTCTAATAGAAAAACTATTTATAAAACAGAAAACTTTTAAGAATTAATTAAAATCCAACGTGTATATTTTCACTAATAAAATAATTTAAAAATTAATTAAAACAAAATTAGAGTGATACATGTATTTGTTACCGCGATAAAGTTAAAAGATGAATTAAGATAAAATTAAAATTTAAGATTTTATTAGCAAAAATTGGAAAATGTAAAGTTTAAAGGATTAGGTATTTTTCATCCCTAGTTTAAAAGAATGACAAAAAATAAGATGGGGAGTATTTGTTTGCATCGAACCCTAGTGTTGGGAATTGGCACAGATCACAAAACCACATAAACAAAGAGTCCCACGTTCTCTTCGCATTGACTCTCTCTCTCTCTCTCTTCCTCTTCACAGTGCCAATGGCGGATCCAATCTTGAAGGCTCTGATTGCGTTTGCGCTCTTAGCTTCTCTCTTCCTTTCCTCGCACGCTTCCTCCGATGTTCCTTTCATCGTCGTTCACAAGAAGGCCACCCTCAACAGGATCAAGTCCGGTGCTGAAAGGGTTTCCGTCACCGTCGACATCTACAACCAAGGAACCTCGTACGCTTCGATCTACCTTCTAAAGTTTCGTTTTTTATTTGTTGGTTTTGGTTTGCTTTGGCTGAGATCCCAATTCCCCTTTGCATGCATGCATGCCCTCCTTCCACTTGTTTAATTTAAATGCTTCAATTTGGGCTTTTGGGTGTTTTTGATTTCGTGAATGTTTGTACTGTTGTGTCTGTGTGTGCTATAGATGAAGAAATTGAATCTGGATCTCGTTTTTTTTTTCCCGGATTTTATCGAGTGGTATGGGAAATTAAAGAAAAGAGTGATTTTTAATTAGCTTAGATGAAGATAGGGATTAGAATAATCAACTTTATGGAGCCTCCGGTGGAGGATACTTGTTGTGGTCTATAAAAAAAAAAAAACTTTTTAAGCATGTGGGGCATGTTCCTTTTGGTTTTTAGGAGTTTGGTGAGTTGAAGGAAAAGTGATTTTGCTCTATTGGTTTTGATCTGATTGTTGGGTAATGCAGAGTTTCTGTCCTGTATGGTCTGATGATGCTTAATTTGATGTGAAAAGATTGAATTTGGTGGTGTGCTTGGGGTTTTGAGGGTGTTTTACTGGTGCCACTTGTAACATGTGAGTTACTGTTTTCAAAGAATGGATAAGTGGATTGCAAGTTGTATTGTTTGATGTGTGTTTGGAGATGCGTTAGATATGCATGTTGTTACCATTCAATTTCATGCTGAAACGGAAAAATAGTTGCTTTTGATCTGACACACGTCTTCTAAGAAATACGTGAAACCAAATATGCTAGTAGTTTGCTGCCTTACTTGTTAAGGATTGGTCGGAGGGCAGTACCAAAATGCATGATATCTTACTGTATTTTTATAGGATTGGGTTTAATGTCTGTCATGAACGATGATAGGGTAGTAGAAGAGGGTGTCAATCAATAAAACAAGACTTTGTGTGCTTTTACTGCTGTTGAATCATGGTTTCATTTTCAAATCTTACCTTTGAGTTCCTGTTATAAATGAGCCTCAAATATTGTAATTCGTTGTTCACTTGAAACTTGTTGAATTGTTCAATTTTGAATTTTCTGTTATCCTTAAAAGAACTTCATATTGTATCTATTTCTGTTTTGTAGCATATGCTAGTATGCTTGCTACTATTTTTTACTTATCCATTTTCTTGTTTTTTAAGGACGGCTTATGATGTAAGTTTAGCAGACGATAACTGGCCAAGTGATGCTTTTGATGTAATCAGTGGAAGCACTTCTAAGTCATGGGAAAGGCTTGATGCGTGAGTTTCCTGTTATAACCTTTTTGCTACTTTGGGTTACCTCATCTTGTTTCTGCCCTGCTGCATTTTAGTTCATCTCTTTTTACAAATAAATCATTCTGTTTTCAGTGGTGGCATCCTTTCTCACACATTTGAGCTGGATGCAAAAACCAAAGGGGTATTTTCTAGTGATCCAGCTGTTGTAAAGTTCCGTGTTCCCACAAAGTCTGCTTTACAGGTTAGTATTTGTTGGAATTGTTGTCGATTTTATTTTTTGGTGAACAACTTGTTTCTTATTTAAATAGTATTTTGCTATTAGGAAGCATATTCAACTCCCATAATTCCTTTGGATGTTCTTGCTGATAGACCTCCTGAGAAGAAGTTTGAATGGGTATGTCTCCCGTATGCTTGAACATGACAGTTAGATGAATAAAAATCAATTGCTTGTGTCAACTGACGAGTTGCTTTTTGTTTTCATGTATTCTTACTTGGTTGGACCCGATATCTCAGGCTAAGGTATGGACAACTATTTTATGTTCTCTGTAGTTGCAAATTTCAAAATTATGAAAATGGCTTAAGTATGAATTAGCATGAGCGTTGTATATTTTGGTAGTTTATTTTGCATGTCATTGGTTAAGCATGATGATATGGACTAAGTGGGTCTCATTGACCCATTCTTAATAAATGGATGATTTCATAAGTTGTGTATGGCGACTAAACAGAAAATAAAGTTTATCTGTTTTGGCTTAGTTTTGTACTTTTCTCCCTAGACACGTGATTCATCAAGATAATAATGCTGTCTTTAGTATCTTTTCAATGAAATTCTTTGCAACAACTTTTTAGATGTATCATGGTGTAAACTCATTACCTTAATTTCAAACTATTCTTATCCACAGAGGTTGCTGGCTAAGTACGGATCTCTAATCTCAGTGATCTCCATTGTGGTCCTGTTCGTTTACTTGGTAGCCACACCATCAAAATCCAGTGCAAAAGGAAGCAAGAAGAAGCGTTAATCATCAGCAAATTAGTGCATTTGCATTCAGGGGCATTTTGGAGGCTAGATGGTGATATTCTGTCGACTGTCGTTGGTCAGTTTTTACCTGGTTGTTGGACTTTTTTGAATGAATGGTTAAATGAGTTAGTGAGAGAACAAATTAATTTCTTTACGGCGTAGCCTGAACAGTTGTTTTCAGTTCTCACTGGACCCATGTATCTTAGTTAGTGAAAGTATATTTAATGGTTACATGATTTCATAGCTACTTTAGATTCAATAGCATATATTATGATGATCTTTAAGTTCGATTCCATGGTAATTATTGGCCACGTTATCAAATCAGTTATTTCCGAGCATGTACCATGGCCATGGTAAAACTTCAGGGGCCTTCATCCTTCCTCTGTCTGTTTTCACAGTTCATTACCATTTTCTTCCTTTTGAAGCATTATTTAGAAGTACCTTTTTGCCATAAGAACTAAGAATTACCTGAAGTGAATTCAAAATGTGTGTTGTGCATCGCATGTGACATTTAATCAATATATTAAATTCAATAAAGTATGTTTAGATGATGGGCAGGAATAAGTCAACGTAGTCAATATCTCAACAAATTTGTTGAAATTATAAATGAAACTAGATTGGTGGTATTCAAGAAAAATAATTAAAGTGTTTTTTTTTTAACATATGATATATGATATCTATAAAGAACAGATAATCTCAATACAAAGATCAATAGCAATAGCATTTGGAAAAAAATTTGCTAATGACATTGAAAAAAAAAAGGACTAAAGACCAATAAATAATCTTTCAAAGGGATTAACAAATGACCAACACCGTTGTTCATTAAAGAAACTCCTCGAGTATTCCAGTTCCCGAAGGCTCATTGATAGAAGAAATTCATGCCTAAAATTTATGATGGGAAATTCTTTATAATTATTCAAAAGATCAAATAGTTGGGTATATTTTCTGAGTTTTTAACATAAGACTCAACAAAAGCTTTATACTATAAAAATGTTATCAATACTTTTTGTATGACCACATTATAATTATTTATTCAACATATATTTTTTTTAATTAAAAACAGGTTGTAAAGCAATTCCCAACTATCCTAAAATAGATGTTAAAACTATGGTTTCAATTGTACCGTTTTGCAAAATGGAAAGCTTTATTTTCCTACTTTGATTTTGATATAATACATATGAAAGGAGAGAAAAATTTATCACCAAATTTTTTAACGAGTTTTTGCAAGAAAAAATGAATTACAAATCAAGAGTAAAGACAAAAGATCCATATGCTCTATAACAACAAATAAACAATTCTCAATAATGTAAAGAAAATAACACCTAAACTCAACTTGTTACAACGTAAGGCCACTCATTCCTATTCAAAATCCTTTAATCACAACTCCCAATAAATATACAACTCCACAATAACTCAATATCTTTATTAAATTATTTATATTATTCTTTATTAAATTATATGGTATTATTAAGGAAGTTTAACTCAGTCGATTGAATGTGTAAGCCAACTCAACATGTAAGTGTTATACATTTGTTTTTAAATGGTGTTTGAAACCCATAGGAAGAAAAAACTTACTTTCGGGACTTGTTTCAACACCTTATGAGTTAGAAGAAATTCCTTAGCAATAAACATTAGACTATCTTACGATTTTCATCATAGAAAAATATAATGAATCGGAAGATACTATTAGACGAATTGCTCATAATATTCTACCTTTGAAATGATAAAATCCGTGTCAAGACCAGTTAAGAATAAGAACCAATGAACCATGTCACATGGCCAAAACAGTTAGTGTATAAAAAAAAAGAAGACCAAGACAGTTATTCAAGATCATACATGCAAGATAATCCGTGCAATGAAGGACAATATTAACTGGATAGCCCACATCCAATGATGAGGACAATAATACTCTAAAAAGGACAACGTGTGACCTCCATGTCTTCCTTGAATGTATATATTCTGAAGTATAGAGCTTGGTGAAACTCTTTAAGAAAAGCATTAAATTCCAAAAATTGTTTTCAAGCTTGTATCAGTATTTTCCTCAATGTTAAATGTGCAATTCATTATCTTATAATATCAACTAATGATGAATTTGATAGCCTCATCATTAAAAGCAAACTGTTATATGACATAATCCTACAATTATACTTCATGTAGGTAAAACTTTACAACGATTTAAGTCTCACTGTCAGCACCTTGAGACTAGGGTCAGGACAACCATATTTAAATTACTTTATCATAGGAGCAATCAAATTTTATGCCCACACAATAAGGGAAACTCTAGATGAAATACGATGGAAACGGAAAAAGTGGTCATAATCGATGATTGAGGTCAATTTAAGTAAAAATCACAAAATTGAAAAAATCAGCCTTTTACGATTATTAGAATGATGAAACCTTGGAAAGAAAACTGGCTACTCCGTCCCAAATAAGAGCGTATTTAACTAAAATTGCAAGAACATATCAGAGGAAAAAAAGATGCACAACAGACATGACATTTTATTTATGTATTACGAAATTTAACATCCACTCCTCAAAATTTTGACAATAAAGTAATGATCCGATGCACAAACCATAAAGTAAAAATATTAACAAAATTATACATAGAACAGCATAATAATCCAAAAACTAGAAATCACTGGAGTTTCTGGTCATTAGCTCCGGAACTAGTGGATGGCACAGCTATTCCTGGTGCTACGAAGTGTGAGATACCTTCTGAGAGGTTCTTAACTGCTTTGTCAAAATTGACAAAACCCATGAACCAAAAATCATGTCCTTCCACTGTTACAATTTGAATGTACTTTTCTGATGGGTTTTCCCTCATGATCACTGGGTTGACCACTCCAACCTTCCCCAAAGGCACCATTACCTGTTGCACAACACAATTTCCAAGTCATTTTTTTTTTCACACACCAAATTTAACTAACTAATATCTTCTCTAATAATTCATAAGAGAGTAAATGTTTCAAGTCTCTTGGTCAAAATTGGTTTTAGTCTACATTATTTTATTTTTGGCATAAACCATAAATAGGTATCCTTTGTTGGAGGCAATCCTATTCGAACAAAGATATACCAACATAAGCAACAAAACTTTTCTTTTGAATATTTAAAATTACTGTATATTCAAGACAACTCGAAACTTTTTTTCTGAGTATTTAAGATCACTGCATATTCAAGACTTGAATTCGATACCATTAGTTAAGCTAGAACAACTCAACATACAAGTTGATCCTCATCAAGTTTTGGTTCTTGAATTTTTTAAAATGTGATGGATTTTGTCGCTCGTCAAGTCTATGCAAAAAAGGAACTAAACTTTAATACGGTATTTTTACTAAAATAAGTACCTTGTAGTAGCTCCAAGTTTCCTGGCCAGAGGGTGCAGTGAAACACAATGGGCGATCACTGCAAAACGCTACATGAATATTGGACAGGTAAAGGGTTCCTGCAACTGGACCTGTTGATGTTGAAAGGTAACAAGCAAAGCTCTTCTTGAGCTTCTCGTTTGGATAGGTTGTGAATGTTTGCTTGTAAAGGGACTCAAATCCACCCTCTGATATCGCTTTTGCCGTTAGATTCATCTTCCCAAACGCAGCTGAAGATACTGAAGGACCTGTTTTAACTGCAAATAACAGTAAAAACTAACAATCAAAACATTTGAAAACAAAAATACTAGGAAAACATAGCTAACTTTTCTTAAGGCCAAGTTCTCTATATAGTTTCCTAAAACATTAAGTTAGGTTTGTTCTATTTTAAAGTTAGATAACATTAAGTTTGAAATATTAATCTCAATCACAAATTTATACTAGAACGTCTACTATTTTTTTTTATTTATTGGAAGATGTGATTATTGATTTTCTAGTTTCTTATAAAACAAAACTTACAGGACAGTTATCATTAGTGTTGTTCTGTTCTCAAGTTAAAATTCAAATTTTACTTTGATAATCAGCATTTACATTTAATGAATTTTTTTTATGTAACTGATGTGAAACTAAAATTTGAAACTCTAATTGTTAATGAAGAACAACACTCATAGTACTTATCAAAATTCACAACATGACATTTATACTATCAAAATTGGTGTTTTGTATAAAGGTTAGTACAAGTAGCTGAAATAAAACTCTAATTTGAATTGAATAACACTAAAATACTTTAACAAACTACAACTAAATTGGTCTTTCTTGAAAACATTAAAGAGTATGTGATGTACAATTGACTCATATTATCTAATTTATATCGATGAGTTGTTGGTTTGAGTAATTTAAATAAAGGTAATCAACCAGATTACTTTTTAAGTGAGAATTAGTCATCAACAAATTCATTAAACCAATTACATCATTACCAAAACAAAAAGAAAAATCTAATTCATGATATTATTCGAAAAACGAAGATCCAAGTTCAAATTCTCATATTTAAGAATTTTTTGCTGAGATACTAAATTTGAAGAGCAAATTAAATTGATGTTTCATTGGCAGTTTGAACTTGGAAATTTGAAACATTTAGAAAAGGGGTAGGAACTTACGGTTGTGCCAAACGTTGTGAGCGGTGGCTTCAGCTTTCTTGGTCCAAGAATCAAACATGTTGAGGATTGACTCCATGGGACTGTTGCTTGGTTTCTCAACGGGGCTGTGTTGGACATAAGGGTGTTGGAAGTACTGCACTTGCTGAGGTTGTTCGCTTTGTAAAGCTGCTTTTTTGTTATCTGGGTGGCTGCTTGGAACAGCAGGGGTACCCATCATGTGAGTTCCCCAATTAACGTTGTTTGATGATGAAGGACAAGGTGCTGCATCTTGTGCTTCAGAAGGTGATTGGTTCTTTTGGGTGTTGGTGTTCATCTTGAGAGCAAGAGAAAGAGATTGAGGTAAAAGTTATGAGAAATGAGGTGTTTTGATTGTTTGGTTTGGCTGAGATTGATGCAAGTTATAAGTAGTTGAATTTGGAAGGAAAAGTTGTACGCGCTTACAGGCCAAAATGTCCCACACCGACTACCGTTTTGCTTAACCGTGTATTGGGAAAAAGAAAGCTTAAGAAGTAAGATGTTGAATTTGGAATATATCATCATCCAAATTTATTTTAATTATTTTTTTCAAAAAATTTAAAATAGGACACGACATGTGTTATGTAAGAATCAACCACCAACATTTTCTTTGAAAATTTTTAATGAGAATATAAACCACTATTTCATTCTTAAGAAAACTCTGCATAAAAAGCATAAAAAATATAAAATATCAGAGAAATTAAATTTATTTCTAATTTTAATTAATAAAAACAAATAGAATTAATCAATTATATTCTATGTTTAAGGAAGGTCAGGAAGTTCGAATTTGAATCCTGTCTCGTATATAGTAGCCGCGTTAAATTTCTTGGGTAAAATGGAAAAGATGTGTAAGTCAAAGGTTGAGGGTGGACTAGGAATCAAAGATGTCAAATTGTTCAATTGGGCACTACTAGGGAAATGGGTGTGGAGGTGCATGCTCTCTCCGGGTATGTTGTGGGCTAAAGTTCTTCATGATAGGTATGGTCGTATTGAGTCCTTTTCAAATTGCTCAAATGTGGATAGGAGGGCCTCTTGGTGGTGGAAGGATATAGTGGGGGTGCTACAACAAGGGAATTTTTGGTTGGACGAAAAGACTGAGCGCTGTATTGGTGATGGCACTATGACCCGATTTTGGGAGAATAAGTGGATAGGTGGTGTGTGCTTGTTTGATGTCTTTCCTCGTTTGTACTCCTTTGCCTTGGACCCGTTGTCAGTGGTGGCAGATAATGGAACTTGGGAGGGATCTACGTGGGTGTGGCATGTTAATTGGAGAAGAGAACCTTTTGTTCATGAAGGTAGGAGTGTGAATACCTTGTTGGATATGCTTCAGGGCTTGCAGGTTATCTCTTCAAGGCAAGACTATTGGAGATGGATTTATGATAAGGACGGTGTATTCTCGGTGAAAAGTGCGTACCTTTGGCTACAACGCTCGGTAGGTGGAGAACTCAGATACTCTTCGGATTTTCAACTAGTTATAAAAAGTCTTTGGAAATGTAAGGCTCCGATCAAGTGCTTGGTGTTTTGTTGGCAGGTGTTATTGAATGCGTTCCCGTGCAAATCATTGTTACAAGTACGTGGTGTGGAGTTGGATAACAATTTTTGTTCTTTTTGCTCTCTGTTTGTTGAAGACCCTCTTCATCTCTTTCTAATGTGCCCGATGACATTTAATACTTGGTTAGCTGTTGCTAATTGGTTGGAGGTTGCGGTGGTCTTTCCCAATTCTTTAATTTCTCTTTATTTATATTGGACGAATCTTGGTATATATAAAAAACATTCTCACTTTTTGCGGGTAGTTTGGGTTTCTGTTATCTGGTCACTATGGCTTCATCGAAATGTCATTATCTTTCAGCAAGGTACTACAAATTGCAAGGAAGTGTTGGATAATATTAAATTGCGTTCATGGAAGTGGATTAATAGTTCTGTCCCTGGTTGTTCTTTTAGTTACACAAGTTGGTATTATAACCCGAGTTTGTATTTCTCATAGTTTCTTTCTAGCTTTGATTCTAATTATGTCTATGTGTCTCTTGTAACGGGTTGGAGTACCTCTTGTACTCCCTTTAATTTAAATTTCTTTTGTTTATCAAAAAAAAAAAAAGTAGCCACGTTAAATCTTGGGACTAGCTTTTCCACCCTTTAAAATACCTCCAATATAGTGAAGAGATTAGTTACTATTGTCGATAGTAGATACCCCAAAAATGAACAAAAAAAATACTTCACTTTGAGAGTCAAATTTATTTGAATTGAATACTTGTTATAAGACGTAATTAATGTTGTGCATGCCAAATGTAAAAATTATAAAGTAATTTTAAATTACATGATTTTTATTTTATTTTTATATAATAAGTAATTAAAGATGTTAATAAATTTTTGGTAAATGTCATGTAATAATTAATTAAAAACATAATTTCTATAGTATAAGAGTTTTAAGTTCTTTTTGATTAATATTATATATAACTAAAATTTAAAATAAATTATGCATATAAATAAATATTATGTTTGAATATATAAATTATGTTTAAATTTTTTTAAAAAATATTTTAAATATATGTATATATATTTATAATAAATTTTATATTTTATTACAAATTTTAATTTTTTAATAATTTATTTTAAAATATTAAAATTTAATTTACAAATAATTATTATAAAAAAAATTAAAATAGTCTTTAAAAATCTTCTCGTAAAAATATTCTTGCATAAAATATCTGGTTTTCTTTACATATAAAGATGGATAATTTTATATTGCTCATTATAATTTCTTTTTTAAAGTTATTTTTTATACTAATTTTGAATATTATTTTATATTTTTTTAATTCTTACAGTTAAAAACATTCTATTTAATTCATGTATATATTTTTTATTTTTTTTATTCATTGTCATTTATTATGATAAAAATTATAAAGAAAGTTTATAAAAAAATGTATAGAATTAAAATAAAATATTTTTAATTACAAAATTAAAAGATAAAATTTATAAAATTATAAAGTATAAAATATTGTAATTAAATTCATTTTTAAATATTTCATTGTTACTGCGGTCAAAAAAAGTATTAATTTTCACTTTTTAATAGTTAATGGTATACTAGTATTTTTAACATGGATGACATATTTATTTCACCCAGATTTCCTCAGCACTTACGAAACGGTGTTCTGACTATGTGCGATCGAGATTCTTCTACGCTAAAATGGTGTAATACTTTTATATTAATAATTTAATGTCTTCTACAATGAATTAGGTGACATCTGAAGAATTTTTTTTTTTTTTATTGTTTCTAGAATAATTAAATGAATTAAGTTTAAGAAATGTCAATACAATTTTTATTAATTGATTGAAATAAAATAAAAATTATACTTGTTCAGTAGGAAGTGAGATTTATGTAGTATTGGTTTAGAAATTCCAATAGATTAATATTAGGGATGACAAAGTGGGCCATGGCTCGCGGGCTGGCCCGTTGGTCCGCCAAAAATTGGCGGGCCGGGCCAATCATTTCAATCCGCCAAGTCCGTCCAACCAAGCCCGTTAACTTGCCGGGTCAAATAGCGGGCCGGGTCGCCACAACCCGCCGGCCCGCATATTTTTTTCTTTAATTTAATTATTTTTATGTTTATTTTATTTTGATGTAGAAGATGAGGATGAAGATGATTAGGAAAAAAAGTAGAGATAACTTCTTTCAAGAGAGCTTCTAATATTCTTAAAATAAAAATTTAAAGTTAATTAATTGTATTTAAACTTGTTTTGTGGACTATCAAAAAATTTAGTTTATAAATAATTTGTAAGTTTATAATTTAGTTTTGATTTTGGTGTAAATGGATTAATTTCTATTTGATTTTGTTTTAAGTTTGTAATTTGTTTTTGTTGAACATATATTAAGTACAATATGTATGCATTTTTAATTTCATATGATTATATTTATTTATTTGTAGCAATTTTTTTTTATTTGGGGGGAGCAAATGGCGGGCCAAGCCAAAACGGGCCAAGCTGGCCCGTTTTGCCATCCCTAATTAATATTACTTAGTGTTGACAAGTATATCAACTTTATCATGGTTACAATTCAACGAGAAAAATTGAGTCAATCCCATTAGGATAAAAGGAAGAGATAAATATGGAGAAAAAATAATAGATTGTGAAATGGATAAGTGCTATTTTGCACGGAGATAGCATAGGAGGATGGTGTTTTTGAGTTTGACACTCTTTAAAAACAGTTATATTGTGGACGTATCTTAGATATTTTGATAGATCGTGTCTATATAAATTGGATATGTCTCCATAACAGATATCTACAAAATTGACGTGTTTCTATTCTGAACATTTATAAAATTGACGTGTTTTTATCATGGACACTTTTAAATGAACATGTCTCTATTTTGATGACCTGTTTGATATGTGGATTCGAGTTTTTTTTTATATATATAAATAAATCTTGATAAAAACATAAACAAAGAAAGAATTCTTTTTTTAAATGATGAAGAATAAATCTCAATAAAAAAATAAATAAATAAGGGAAATTTTGAGATTTAAAAAAATAATTTTTTTTTGATAAAAATAGAAACAAAGAAGATAAGATTTGAGATTTTAAAAAGAGAAAAAAAAATTGATAAAAATATAAACAACAAAGATAATTGTTTTGTTTATCCTTACTTAACTTTCACGTAATAAATTTTTTTTTTTAATAAAAATAAAAATAATGAAGGAGGATTCGAGATTTTTTTTAAAAAAAATATTGTAAAATATGATGTCTCTTAATAATTTATTTTTAAGCCTTACTAGGTTATTGTTATATTAATATATGATATTTTTATCATATTATTTATATTATATATTATATATGTCATGTCCACGTCTCTTATGTTTTTTGATTTTGTCGTATCTTCATATCTTTATCTGTGTCGTGTCTATATATCATGTCCGAATTCGTGCTACATAATATATGTGACATATAATATAAATAAAAAATATAGAGAGATAAAAAAAGACAGAATAAGAGTAATAAGTTTTAAATATGTAACATATATGTTCATAAAAAAATCTTTTAGCAACATGAAACATTACCGTGAGAAGAAACTTAAGTACCATTACTAACTACTACAATAAGATGATAGGATACCTTAATAATTTACGTATTCTAAAATGAAATAGGTGACTTCTACGAAAAATCTATTCATTATTTTTAAATTAAAAGGAATTAAGTGTAGGAAATGTTAATACATTTTAACATATATATTTTATTATATTAAAAAATATATACTTATATAGGAAGTAAGATCTATTTTAATTTATAAATTCCAATAATTTAACCTAATAACTAAAAAAAAATATCCTTCACCCACGAATGATGTTTGGAGCTATTGAGTTTGCTTATAGAAAGATTGAACTTTCCACTCCTGAAGAGAAAATTAGTGCTTTAAGAAAAAAAATTTATAAATTATTTGAAGAGTATGAGAAACTAAAATCAAATGAGTCAAATGCTTTTTAACTTCTCATGTGTCTCTTCCACCACAACAAATTTCATATACTGATGATGAGCAAGTCCTTGATACCTTTGATGTAAGTTAATAAAATTTGTTTAAAGTACTTTACTTAATTTTATTTTTGTTTAGTAATTATTATTAACTATTGAATTTCTTTTTCTATATAATATCTTATGAATGTGTTGAATATTTGAGCCAAAATGCTTATGCTAATGGAAAATCTGAATTTGATCTATATTTGGAGGAAGGAAATTTTGATTCAAAGTTACATAAAAATTTGGATGTATTAGCTTATTGGAGGGATCGTCGTGATCGTTATCCAAATCTCTCTAAAATGGCTTGTGATGTGTTGAACATTCCAATCACTATAGTTGCTAGTGAGTCCGCCTTTAGCCTTGGGTCTCGTGTGCTAACTATGTACCTTTCTACCATTCTTTCTGAAAATGTGAAGTTACTCATTTTAACTCAAAATTGGTTGCATGATTTTGAAGAACTAGGTAATTTTTATAATTTATTATCACTAATGAAAAATTTCTTATTTATTTTTTACAATAGCTCATCCTAACACTTTTTTTTTTCTTCTTATTGTAGATGGAGATAAAGTGGATATTAAAAGAGAAGAATTGGTTATTGATATTTCTGTTCAAGACTCTAATTAAGTTTAATGTTGATGAATATTTTGCTCATCGTTTGATGTAATTAATTACTTAATTTCATGACTATTATTGTAGTTTTGTATGATGAAACATAAAAACTTTTATTACTTATTTACTTATAAGTTATGACTATGATGTTAATTTTATGACTATTTTGTTTATATATATTGTCTCTCTTTATTTAATTTAAATATTTTCAATTTTTAATATATAGGAGAGGAGGATGCATATGATTAGAAGTTGGTAAAAAAAATTATTTTTTAAAAACTCTTTTATGGGTTGATGGGCTGAACCATATAACCCACCAACCCGTGGTGGGATGGGCTGGGCAAAAAAAAACTAAGTAAACATAAAGTGGGTCAGGTTGGGTTAACCCATTTTTGAGGTGATGGGTCAAGGTGGGTCAACTCATATGGGTCGGACTGACCCATTTTGACAGCTCTAGTCATAGGTACTTTTTTTTATTGTTGTGGATGACAACACTAGACACATTTGGCTTTTCTACATGAAAATGAAATCTGAAACTGGAAATCTGGTCAAGTCTTTCATCAACTTAGTTAAAAACCAATTTGATAAGAAAGTTAAATGTGTTAGAACTAATAATGGATCAAAGTTCATGTTAAAAGAATTTTATGGTTCTAAGGGTATTGAACATCAAAGAAGATGTGTTGAGTGCCCTCAACAGAATGGTCGTGTTGAGAGAAGACACAAACACATTCTTAATGTTGGTAGAGCCATTATGATTCATTCTAACATACCTAAGATTTTTTGGTGCTTTGGTATAAGTCATGTTGTTCACATCATAAATAGGATGCCTACTGAAATCCTTAAAAATAGATCATCACATGAATTGTTGTTTAACAAAGTTCCTAAAATTGATCATCTTAAATGTTTTGGTTGTCTTTGCTATGCTTCTACCTTGTCTATGCACAGAAAAAAGCTAGATAAAAGAGCAAGAAAATGCATCTTCGTAGGATATAAGATAGGAGTAAAAGATTACATCTTGTATGATCTTAACAACAGAGAAACTTTTATAAGCAGGAAT